CGTGGCCTGTAGAAGCCAGAAAAGACACAGAGATCCTCCCCTTGATCTCCAGAGGGCAGGCAGGACTGCTGATCTCCTGAATTTAGCCAGGTGAGACTGAGTTGGGACTTCTGATCTTCACAACTATAAGATAGTGGGTTTCTGTTGTTTTAAGCCACCGAGTCTGTGGTAATTTCTTACAGCAGCAATAGGAAGCCAACACACAGAACTGTCCTGGATAGAAGCAACAAATACCGAGTGTTCTGTAAACTGCTGATTTTAGGACTGTTACCAGATTTCTTCAGAATTTAATAGTTAAGAGCAGATGGTAAAGACATCTTGGGAAAGCCACACTGCATAGTGGAAGAGAAAATGAGTTTGAAGCACACAGGCCCCCTTCTGCATCTACCAGCTTTGTGACTTGATTTCCTCACTAGGTCGCCATGAAGCTCAAAAGAGGGAGGCCAAGTGCAGCAAATGAGGTCTAATAGAGAATGTTCAAATTCCAATTAAGCTCACAGTGCTTCAGGTTCCTCACATGTAAAATGGGGACAATATTAGTAGCAATCACATAGGACAGTGAGGATTAAGTGAGCTGAATATGTAAAGTGTTTAGAGCTGTTGTGAACACAGAGAAATTGCTGCTGTCATAAAAAGCAGCAGCTCCTGAAATGTAGCAAGTGCTCAATAAATGAGACCAGCAGAATGGGCATGTACCTTCCCAGCACCAAACCCAGTGCTTTGCAGGTGTGTCCTGGGTGTCATGGGGTCTCATTGAGACTTGGTCTCTGCCTTCACTGACCTTGTGGTCTAGCTCAGAAGTCATGAGAAAGCACCTGAGCAGGTAACACGTGGTTAAGTGAGCTGTGTTTCCCTGAACATGATGTGGATTCAGTGTAGAAAGATCACAGAGGAGACACTGCAGAAGAGGGAGGCTGCCTGCTGGGCCTTGATCAGCAGAGGGGAGGGGGAAACGGTAGGTGGGCAGAAGAGTGTACGAGCAGGGATGGGAGAGCCATGCCTGGAGACAGGGTAGGGGTGGATGCACAGAGGGATGAAGGCCTGAAGAAGACATGTACTGGCTTGAGAGTCACGGAGAAAAATCCTAGCAGTAGACAGTCATGATCAAAGTGTTTGAGACTAAGCTGTGGTATAGGTAACAGTGATTCTCAATTATGCTGTTGTAACTCACCCATGTGATATGATCCCTCATGAGGTGTGCAGTAAGTCACTTAAAACCAACATCGAAGAGGATGATGATGATGATGTGTGTATTTAATAAATTACAGAAGATGCCGAGGACTAATGTGCAGAAAAGTAAGTGTTTAAAAGCCATCTAAATACAAACTAACAAGATATTAAAGCTATTAATACATTGGTAAAGATAAATATGAAATGATTCCTTCCCACAGACCAGAGATGAAAAGCAAAGGACAGTGTACTAAACAACAGGCAGAACTGAAATAAACACGGCCCCCTCACAACCGAAGCTAGAATTAGATTTCTGCTTCATTTCTGCTTAATTGTTTCTAAAACAAAATTTTAACATCAATACTTGGACTCCATGCTAGGTCCTCTCCGGACCTGCAGAATGTGTAAACGTTGGCTATTTGCCATTTGTCAGACTAATGCTCTACAAAGAACAAAGAAGGTTACATTCCTATCTGGCAGATGACAATTTACATAATTTATGTTTTTTTCCCCCCCAGAAAAAAAAACATACACATCAAGTCAGTGATAACTCTGTGTTCACACAGTGATGAGAGAGTTTCTCCCCTCAAACCCTAGTGTCTATCAGGCTGTTATCTGTATTCCTTTAAATGAAACATGCGATCCCCCCATCTCCTTTTCTTTCATAAGAAAGAGGCTGTAAGTTGGGTGTAAGGATTGGAGACCTCAGCATTATTCTCTGACAGATCCTTTCTAAATGGAAAAGACGAATGTGAGTGTATGCCAAGTTTCCCTTTCCCAGTAAGAACTGTTGACGAATCAGGGCAAACCAGGCAATGGATTGTCAACAGTTGGTGTCCTAACTAAGCTAGGTTCTAAAACCACAGCCAACTAGCCCAGGGACCCCTGAAGTTACTCTGGATTTATTGAATCACACAGCATAAACAATGGTTTCTTTTCACAAGCAGTCAGCATTAGCTAATTTTTCCCAACGGAACGTAAGAAGTTGGATTCTAGTAAATAATGTAAGATGAATTGGTCTATTGTTTACTCCAGGTTTAGAGATTCCTAAAAGTGATCAAATATTCTTTTTTTTTTTTCCAAGACAGAGTCTTGCTCTGTCACCCAGCCTGGGTGCACGATCTCAGCTCACTGCAACCTCTGCCTCCCTGGTTCAAGCAATTCTCCTGCCTCAGCCTCCTGAGTAGCTGGGATTACAAGTACGTGCCACCACACCCGGCTAATTTTTGTATTTTTTTTTTTTTAGTAGAGATGGGGTTTCTCCATGTTGGACAAACAGACCCTGTGCACCAAATCATTAACAAGGGCTGTCTCTGGACGGTAGAAACACTGCTGACCTTCACACTCTGTGTTATTTCTTGTTATGTTTGACTATTTTTCACAATTATTGGGTCTCAGGTGTGAAAGAAGAGACTTTTTAAAGGTCCTATTCAACTGTAGTTACTGATTCATTGGATGAACTTCCAACACTTGTTTACTACTAAGTTTCCCAACCTGAAAAATGGACTGAAAGCTGACTCATCCTCAAAGGCTTCTCCACAATAGAAGGAAATAGAAAAGCTTTCAAAGTAAATTCCTATCTTCACGGGCCCAAGGTAGATGAAAATTAAAGAATAAGTGATTCTTTGGAAGTCCACTGTTTCAAATAGGGATGCTGGGCATACAGGTAGTGGCAGTGGCAATTGACCAAAAAAAAAAAAAGGTCATATGTGTGGCTGTGCCCGAAAAACTGAAAAGCCTTCATGAGTCAACATCACTATTTAGCAGCATGTGTGGCTATCAAAAAGGCATTGATGTTTCACTCAATTCAAGGCTAGAACAATATTAAGACCTATAACTATTAAAAAAAAATCAGTAAGATGTAAAGCCAGCATTTTCAGGACCCATAAGAAATATTCTTCATCTATTCATTCATTTCATCATTCAGGAAACATTTTATCCATAATCTATGTACCTAATAGCAACAAGCTACTAATAATATGGGGACTTAACAATTTCAACAGTGGAGGTTGATTTGAGATGCTTCCTCACCTTTTATTAGGATTGGCATAGGTTAGTGATGCTGTTTAAGGTCACAGACTCACTTCAATTAGAGGTAAGGTAGTATAATCGCACTAGAAATCAGATCCAGGCTTTATGATCTTAAGCAAGCCTATATCTAGGCCAAAGTGACATCATCTGTAAAACAAAAGTGCTCATGTTTAACCCCTGAAGGCCTTGTAGCCGTACACATGGGTTTGGTAGAGTGGAAAGGGTCACATAAGCTGAGTTGATGGCCAACCCTAAATTTGCTGTGTTTGCCTCAGTTTCCTGAAGCCTAAAATAAGGCTAATAAAACCTACTTTTTACTGAATTATTGTGAGGATTTACTTCAACTAGGTGTGCGATAATACATATTTCTTAAGTGCCGGTATTGGTGTTCAAAATATATGACATTCTCTTAACTTCTACAAATCATCCACAGTAGCATGGAATTAAACTTAGCCATATACATTTAAGCTCGAAAAGAAAATATATATTTAATGTCTGTTACCAGAGGCTTCATATTTTGTGTTTTGTTTACTCGCCAGGATTTGATTCTTTGAGTATTTTACTAAACCACAGCTCCAAGATGGGCAAGGAGCAAGGGGAAAGAAGGGGCTCTCCTAACTGACTAGGAAAAAGCACAGAGGAGGCCACAGGCTCCTGCCTGGAAACAGGAGCCCCTTCTGCGCAAGGCAAGAGTGTGTGAGCTGTCATCCTCTCTCCTTCTTCACTGATGACCACATCATTTATCACCCAAATGGGACACTTCTGAGGGTGAAAAAACTGTCTCAGTGAAACAAAGATGTATGTCTCCTCCACCTTCCATGCTTACTTTTTGTGACCTTTGTTGTCCCTTTAAAGCTGTGTCTTATGTCCTAATAGGGAACAAATTGCAAAATAAAATTTTATGCAATCAACCTAAAATCCTGTGTTTTTAAAAGCATGCAAAAAGATTATTTACCTAAAGTTTGATAAAGGCATTTTATTTTTAGATAGAAAATTATGATAAAATAGTTGTGTTAGTATTATTATTATATATGCCTGGTGCAAGATCAGAAATTTTATTTGCAAAGGGATAGATAGCATATATTTTAGACTTTATGAGCCATATGTTCTCTATCACAACCATGCAATTCTCCCTTGTAGTGCAAAAGCAGCCATAGACAGTATGTAAAATAATGAGTGTAACTGTGTTCCAATAAAATATTATTTACAAAAAAAAAAAAAGGGATGCAGGCTAGAATTAGCTTGAGGGCTGCAGCTTGTCAATGCTGTTTTGAAACGATGGTTCCCAGACTTTTGGAATTCATAGGACCAGGAAAATAAAAATATTTGGAATTGGCTCAGCATTTCTAACTACTTATTTTGCTAAGTAATGATGTTAAAAAAATCATTGCCTATTACCCTTATTTCTTTGAATTTTGAACAGCAAAAAAACTAGAAAGGGTATAAATTAAGAACAAATTTAGCTTTATGGAAGACCTACCACATTGTCTTTTTATTTTTTTTATTTTTTAAATTTCCTTAGCTCAGTGACTGCTTCATCATAAATATGCTCAGGTTAACAGATGGGTCATCTGAGTTGCTTTTGGAGGTCACTGAGGTGTGATACAGTAGAAAAAGCATGATATTTGTTATTAAAAGATCTGGATTTAAATCAGGTTAGTGGCGTACTAAGAAGGCAGAAATCAGCAGACCTTAAACATCCTTTAACATCCCTGGACAAAACCACTCTGAGAGAGCATCCCTTTTTTGAATCACTGTTGCAAACACAAGCTCCAATATTGAGTAACCTCAGAACTCACCGGCTGCCACTGTGCAGGGTACCAGGCTGGGGCGCAATTGAAGCGGTTACAAGCTTGCACTGTGCTGGGCTTGGGTTGGCGGCACAGCTCATCTGCCAGGATGACTGTTTCATTCATCTCTCTGGAAAGTAGGTGGGAGCAGAAGACATCTCTGGTCTGCAGGCCAACCCCACAAGTGAGACTACATGGACTCCACTTGCCAATTTCCCACCTGAGAAGAAATCAGAGAGGAAAAGCTCACCCTCAGTACCTGTGCAGAGAACATTTCCCATGAACTCCAATGTTGCTAATGGAGTAAAAACCCCTACCTGGGAATATGGGAAGTGCCAGCCCAAGATCAGCTGGCAGCTCCATCCTAAGCCTAGCATCTATCCTTTCCCTTAACGCTCTAGAATTCATTTACATTAAAGCAAAGAGGGAGATAAAATGGAATATCCAATTTTTATCTACAAAATCACCAATAATGGTTACAACCATGTCCATTCTGATAGGACATATAAACTTCATCAAAATAAGAGAGGAATGCTAGAAGAGACACAGATTGAGTACATAAAGGCTTTGGGCACCACATACTGAATTGTGGGGCTTAAAGAGGACTTTCCGCTAATTTCTCCAGCTCCCATTCTTAGCAAGACTGAAAATTTAATGCTTGTAATTCTTTGGCTTCAAAGTAAAAGGTCATGGGCTCCGACTTCCTTCAAAGTTCCATCACTGCATAGAAATGTCTCTGTCTTATGTTTAAATATCATCAGTGCCTGGGACTGGATAATGTAACAGAAGTGAAAGCTGCTGAATCGATCAGTCTTCTTGAGGGAAAGTAAGTGAAGAGAATGGCTCATTATCTAGATGTAGCAGACAAATATGCAGATGAGTTGAGTGCACAGACTGGCCATTTCCAAAGGGCCATGTCTTGAGAAGTACATTTATAGTGAGCTAAGGGCCTATAAAAACAATCCCACTGAATTTTCCTGCAGATGCAGCTTCCAAACTGGGAATGATAAGGACAAAGCTCATTTGCTCAGGCTCTTAGTCAGAAGCATCCTCTAAAGATCAGTTTTAGAAAATTCTGTTTACAATCTGAAGACAAAGATTTTACAAACAGGAGTTGGCCAAGAAAAGCATGTTAAGTAGATCCTCTAGCAGCTAGTCCCACCAAACTTTTGTCCTGAAAGTTTGTTGAAAATTTTTTGACCTAAATGTTTTTCATCAGACTGTAAAACTAAGCGTATGTGCTCAATCTCTTACTACTGCTCTGACATATAACTAACTTTCCAACCTGTTTCTACTACCTCCTTTCATCTATACTAAGGTTAGCCATATCTGTAATAATCTGTTTGTTTTTCTCCATTTATGCCCCATGGTTTTCTAGTTGTGCCTTTATGCAAGTTGCATTCCTAATTTGGAATATCTTTTGCCCTTTTGTTGCCCCTCAAAATGTCTTTCATTTCTACATATCCAAATATGATCTATATTTAAAACACTGTATCCACACGTGCTCCACAATGACCATTTTCTCAACTGTATTATGGTTATTCCACCTGTCAAGGGCCCTACTAGAGTACAGACCTCCTGTTGTAGGGTCTGCATCTGAGTCAGTTTTGTATCAATCACAGGGTCCATCAGAGCACCTTTTAGGCTAATAAATGCCTGATAAATGAGCAAATCGATGAACCCTACCATCATAGAGGGCACTTTAACATATCATCTCATTTAATTACCTCCAGAACAATATGAGATAAGCTCTATTGATTATTCTCATTTTGCAGTTGAGGGAATGTGAGAATCCAAGAGGCTGGCTTGTCCAAATACCCATCATTAGTAAGTAATGAGTCCAGAATTCAGACTTGGTTGTTTCTGGCTCTGCACTTTCCACTGTACCATGCTATCTCCAAAAATACCTTAAAAACTCTCCTGTGAACATTTGCAAAGTTTTAAATGAATAGAAGAGGAGAAGCTAGGTTAAATATATCTCTTTCAGATCATTGTATAAATTTCTGTAAACTTATTTTTAAACACTTAGCTTAAGTTAATTCTAAGCTTTAAGATGTTGTGGCGTTACTGGTTTTAAGATACATTCATACATTATTTGCCATGCCTTCCTTCTAAAGGCAGAGTCTTGAGTATGGGCTGGACTTGCTGGCTCACTTCTAATGAATGAAATGAGGCAGAAGTGACTCTATGTGACTTTCAAGGCTAGATAAAAAATGGGATAATGCTTCCAATTTGATGCTCTCTCTTTGCCCACTCATGGTGGTGGGGAAGCCAGCCACAATGCCATGAGACTACCCAGACAGTCTTAAGAAAAGTTCATGTGCAAAACTGCAGCCTCCCCACCAATAATCAGCATCAACTTGCCAGCCATGTGAGTGAGCTACTTTGAACGCAGACCGTTCGGCCCCAAGCTAGCCTTTAGATAACTGCAACCTCAGGAAAGACCTCAAGCCAGAAATGCCTGCCCAAGCTGCCTCCAAATTCCTCATTCACATGAACTGTGACTGTGAGAGGGGATCAATGTTTACTTTCATTCTAAGCTACTAGGTGTGGAGGGAAATTTGTTTTGCAGCAATAGACAACCAATACAAGTATATATCTCTCCCAAATTTGCATATGTTCATCAAAAGACATATGCAAGAATATCCATAGCAGCACTGTCCATAATAGCACAAATCTGGAAAAACCCAAATGTTAATCAACACATGAATGAATAAAAAATTATGATATATTCATAAAAGACTATATAAAGCAATGAGAATAAACTACAACAATAAGCAACAACATAAATGAATCTCACAAACATCAAATTGATGGAACAAAGCCGCAAACACAAAAACTCATACTATGTGATTTATATAAGCGCAAAAGCCAAAACTATTCCACTGTGTTAGAAGCCAGGATGTTGGCTACCCTTGGTGGGTAAAAACTAGAAGAGAGCTATTGTGGGGAGGGCTTCTGGGGTGTTTTGTAGATCTGGATGCTGGATCTGGGTTCATTTTACGAAAAATTACCAAGTGAACACATAAGATTTGTGTTTACTTTTCTTATACATATTATGCTTCAAAAAAGGTTTTCTTTCCACTCTTAAGTGAAATACTAAAATGTTGTGGGTATAAAACAAAATCTAACAGCCATGGCCAATGCTGGTGACCCTTCTTTGTATGTCTCATAAAGTAGCTGCCTACACAGCTAATGCTGTCCCAAGGTTAACACTCATCAAAATAGAGGCTTTACAACCTCATTTCCCCAAACTTTGCCACCACTTCTGGCCCCTGGGATCTTGAAGCAGAGACATTTTGGCAGCCATGAGGCCACCTGAGCACTGCTCAGAGAAACTCACGAAACAGACATATCTGCCTGCCCTGCTAAAAGTGCACGGCATTCTCAAGGACGGAGGTCAGCAGAAGCTATCTGTATATTAAAGACCTTGCTGATTCTGGGTCAAAAATATTTTAATCAACTTAGGCCAAAAAAGAAAAAGCAGAGGCTCTCCCCAACACATGAATGAATAAAAAATTATGACATCTTCATACAAGACTATATAGAGCAATGAGAATAAACTGCAACAATAAGCAACAACATAAATGTTCTCTCCTGAAGAGAGGATGCAACTGTGGGCCTGGGTCTTGCTGGGTGCTGATGCCCTAATCCCTGCATTCTGTGCCTTTGGCTATGTCTGAGAGAGGAACTGCAGGCCAGGAGGAGCCAGCCTGGGGTCAAGCTTGGCTATGAGTGGTGGTCTGTGAGACACCGAGAGGCCTTGCCTAGGGTTCTGGGGCCTGGCTTCTACAGAAGCCCAGTGCAAGGAGGAGGGGGCTCTGGTCTAGGCATCAGAGAGTGAAGGCGTTAGTGCCTTCTCTCCCTCTTTGCTTGGCTTTTACTCATTTTTTCATTTCCATTTAAAACGCTACTTCTTCCAGGAGGAAACCCTCAACTGGGTAAAATTCTCTCATTGTAGGGTCCCATTAATACTTTCCCATTTGAAAATTCTCAACATACTTGTAATCTGACTTCCCCACTCAACTGCTAGCTTGATGAGGGCATGGGGCTAGGTCTATTTTGGTTTACCACTTGTTATGTGTTGAACTGTGTCTCCAAAAAAAAAAAAAAATGTATGTTGGGGACCTAACCCTTAGTATCTCAGTACGTGACCTTACACGGGAGTAGAGTCACTGTAGATGTAATCACTTAAGATGAAGTCACACTAGAGTTGGGTGAGCTCTTACTCCAATGTGACTGTATTCTTATAAGAAAAGAGGCAGACACACAGGCAAAATGCCATGTGACAACAGAGGCAGAGATTGGAGTGATGTATCCACGAGCCAAGGAATGCTGAGGAGTGCCAGGAGCCACCAGAAACTACAGAAGGCAAGAAAGGACTCTCCTTACAGGATTGAGAGGGAGTATAGTCCTGCTGACTCCTTGATTTTTAACTTGATTTTAGCTTTTACGACTGCGAGGCAATACATTTCTGTTGTTTTAATCCCTCTGGTTTGTGGTACTTTGTTGCTTTAATCCCTCTGGTTTGTGGTACTTTGATACGGCAGCCCTGAATATGAATACATGACAGAACCTCAGTGCTGAGCATGGTGCCTGGGACCTGGCAGACGTTCAGTAGTATGCAGTGAAAACTGAGTTGAATTTGCAGTGAACTATGTGTGCACCTCTGGATGAGTCACATGGCTGGTGGACATCTTAGCTGTGCCCTTCATACAACTGTTCGCTCCCAACTTCAAGGTCCCAGGAGCTCTCAACACCACACATTTTCCTTCAGTGTGGTGTAAACTCTTTTCATGGCAAACTGGACCTGAATTAATATGCTTTTGACAGGCTGCATCCCACTTTGTGTAAATATTTATACATTTTCCTGCAGCAAGATTAGCCTGGTGGATTACAGTGTTTTTCCCCAGAAAATTGCTAGGGGTGTTACACAATTTATGTCTTGGTAATCCTAACATCTTTGTAAAGTATAAAACATTCTGGAATCTGAAACACATCTGTCCCAGTGGTTTTGGCTAAAGGATTGTGTCCCTAGATAAGGAGGGTGGTAAACATGATTGCTATGGTTTCCTTCAGCTCCTAGGCTTCAGGTGTTGAGCTTCATGGTTGGGCTCTTGGCCAAAATATTTGGGAGGCTGGTTTCCCCAGCATTCTTTTACTATACTGCTTTCTTTCCTCTGAGCCCTTCTTCTCCATGTTTCTGTCCCTTTTGTCAAA